ACCGTGACATGATCATATAAACAGTGCACGTTCGCGTCATTTGCTGAAACACAAACCTTTTCACAGAAAAGCAAGACAATGACGGCTGTTTATTGAAGGCTAATCCTGTAATATTAACTATTGACGCCAAACGAAGGGTGATAACTTTCAAAAAAGCGCGAGTGAAGAAATATCAGTCCACAAAATCGCAAACGCCATATATGTTTTGCGACAAAATTTTTCCTCAACAAACTGCTTGTTCAAGCCAAATTATCGCTATATTGAATGGTTTCTGATCTTCGTAATATGATTGGCCGTCCTGTTTAATATTAAGTCGTTATTCGGGCAAAAAAACTTAATCTACGATGCCACACTACGATTTTATACAGACCCCTTTCGTTTAACACTTTAACCTAAAGGGTATCCAATAACACACGCAATCGCAGCAAAATTTACCGCGTCTGTAGAGCTTGCCTGAACAGAGCAGAGATTAATATTTAAAATTAAACCAATACATATAAGAGTATATCTTTTGACAAGTCGTGAACACCGATGCGGATTGCTACTAAAGCTCAGATATACAAATGAGAGAAAATGCAAGTCCCCAAGTCAGATAAGAGGCAAAGCGGTCAGTTCTTGTTTATTGGTTAAAGCCAATTCTTTGAAAAAGTCAGAATTTTGACACAAAAATGGATACAACTCGCCTCACTAACATACAGTTACACCCCTAAAAATGTATTCAATACAAAAGTAATACTGTAATAGTACTCGGTCCGCTGCGACAATTTTGTAATTTCAAATATAGCATACTGTACGTTCACAGTCACCAAGCAAGACCATCGAAGGTAAATGTAACGGTGTGTTTGTGCGCTTATTCCATTTTATAATTGAAAACCTAGCACCAAAATCCCATCCATTAGACGCTTCAATGAAGCAGAACTTTTGCAGAGGTCGTCGTTTAGATCTATCTACGGCCACATTCATACTCTCACTTATCATGACAACGGGCTTTTATCCTATATGTTACAGAAGCCTGGACATAGTGATCAAATAAGATGCACGGCAGACGACTCTCAAAGAAATCATCCGTCATCAATTAGTTATATTCGTCGCGAAAACAGCGATCTTCAATCATGCAAAAAATAATTTCAAATACCAGGCAAAAATAGGTACAAATTAAAGATTAGTTACAGAAACGTAAGAATTTGATTCTGAAACTGGACCATTCACAGTCTGATATAGTCTTTCCTTCATGACCGCTATTCTGCATCTTTCGTGCTTGTGACTAAAATGTGGCGACTTTTCTGTTCACAGAAGATCGTGTGAACGGTATAGACTCTCAATCAAATTAGAACTGAAGTATAAAATAATGTATGTTAATATCAGAATTTGACGACCTCATTATCGTCTGCAGGACTCACGTATTTGGGGTCTGGCTCATTTCACTGACAATCATTTCACCGACAAATTTTCGCCAGCATTATTTTGAAATTAACCTTTTTTGGTAGTTTTTGTCGGCGAAATGATTGTTTGTCGGTGAAATGAATGCCTCCCATACAGCTTACGGCCCACAACACAAGATATAGATAATTGTATCGGAAACAATTGGTAAACAATGTCTTTTAGATTTCTTACCCATTCAAATAATTTACCCCCTATAAAAAAACAACAGTAACTATAAGTAACCTATTCGGAATCTTGTTAACTCAACATTTCACTAGGAAGCGCATCGCATTTGACTGAAAGCCTGGGTAAATCTCGAATACGTCCGCATAGATGTAAAATAAATCGCAAATTTAAAAAAGTTTGAGTCTCTAAATTAAAAAAATGAATGGTGTTGACATTTTAAACGAACTTCATTGTGTCAGCATATAGTTTCATTCCTGCAACTGTTTCTTATACACTTATAAAAATATTCCTGATTACTGAGATGAAGACCGAAGCCCCAAAGTTACTTTCGGGCAAATCTCCAAGAGGTAAGAGTGTACCGGTGCTAAAATGTTTATCTTCTTTTCGAGACGTGATAAAATTTATGATATGGCATCCCATGCATGGTGCGTTGTAGTTGTCAATATCGCCCATTACATTCTCCCAAAATCTCACCCACTTCGCTTACGTCTATTAAATATTTGTTATCTAACTAGAAAATCATTTTGTTTAACATACGTATAGCAAATTTATAGTGCAGGTTTTGGTTTAGTTGAAAACAATGCTTTGCCGTTGCAGAACCGATTGTAATTGGGCAACCGATGAATAATGATGTCACACAGACGATCTACAAAAATCGATATCCGAGATCAATGACTATGCGATTTACACTTTGCACACACACACACACGCAAAATGAGTATCATAGTTGATTTATCCTCAGGCCTTTTGTCAGACTATCAGAGGCTTTACGAAAGCGGGGATTATGCGGATGTTTCAATTTATGTTGGAAAGGAACCAAATAACAAAATATTTTTCGTTCATACGCTGGTATTGTGTACACGAAATCCGTTCTTTAAGAACATCTTAACCGGGAATACGGAGACGTCTAAAGAGATTCAAAAGGTCGCTATGACATTCGAAGATGTGTCACCTGATGTTTTCGAAATTTTGCTTAGGTAAATCAGATTAAGACATACGGATAACATATTAATGTTGTCAAATCATGCTTATTGTAGCAACATTAAAACTAACTGCAACTTAATACAAAAATCGATTCTGTAGGTTTATCTATACTGGGCAAATTTTCTATGAGTCATGCAAAAATGCAGGTTGGATTAATCTTCTGGATGGAGCTAGCAAGTTTGAACTACATGATCTTCTTACTGCAATTGAAGTCTATTTGATCAAGGAACAAAAGGAATGGATTCAACAGAATATTGTTACAGTTCATAAGCATGCTCTCTCTATGGCTTCTTTGAATTATTTGAATGAACTTCTGGGTTATTGTGATCGAATTATGGTCTCACACCCAGATAGTGTATTTAAATCAAATGTTTTTGCAGCTTTACCAAAGGAGACATTGATCAATCTTCTCAAGAATGATGACCTCAGCATGGAAGAAGATGATATTTGGGTGTCAGTTGTGCAATGGGCCACTAAGCAAGTACCTGGATTAGAATTTGAAGATGTAGATGATCTAGATAGTTGGTCATCCCATGACATCAACACAGTGAAAGATATTATAGCAGATTGTATACCACACATTAGATTTTTTAACATGTCCCCTGAAAGGACTCTTCCATTTGATGATTTATTGCCAAGAAAATTGCGTCGTGATATACTGAGTTATCAAATGAAAAAAGATTATATTCCAAAGACTACAATTCTATTGCCAAGGACAGGCCAAAAATGTAATATTGATTTGGTTGCCATTAACAGCAAACAAGGACAGCATAATTTCTATGAAGTTGAAATTGGGGTAAAAAGAAACATTAAAAAGGCTGTCAGATTATACAAACAAGCAGTTGAACAAGGAAATGCTTCTGCACAATATAATCTTGGTTATTGCCATCAACATGGAATCGGAGTAGAGAAAGATGCTGAAAAAGCTTTTGAATTATACCAACAGGCTGCTGAACAGAGACATACCCAAGCACAATTTAGTCTTGGTATGTGTTATCAGTATGGAACTGGGGTAGAAAGAGATTTACAAAGTGCAGTTGAATTGTATCAAAAAGCTGCTGAACAAGGAAATGCTGCTGCACAGAATAACCTTGCCCATTGCTATCAATATGGAATTGGAGTAGAGAAAGACACCAAAAAGGCAGTTGAACTATATGAAAAAGCAGTTGAACAAGGGCATGCTTCTGCACAAAATAGCCTTGGCTATTGTTATCAACGAGGAATAGGAGTAGAGAAAGATGATAAGAAGGCAGTTGAACTATATAAAAAAGCAGTTGAACAAGGAAATGCTGCTGCACAAAATAGCCTTGGCCATTGTTATCAATATGGAGTTGGAGTAGAGGAAGATGCTAAAAAGGCAGTTGAACTATATGAAAAAGCAGTTAAACAAGAAAATGCTGCTACTGCACAATATAACCTTGGCTATTGTTATCAATATGGAATTGGAGTAGAGGAAGATGCTAAGAAGGCAGTTGAACTATATGAAAAAGCAGTTGAACAAGGGCATGCTTCTGCACAAAATAACCTTGGCTATTGTTATTTACATGGAATGGGAGTAGAGAAAGATGCTAAAAAGGCAGTTGAACTATATGAAAAAGCAGTTGAACAAGGAAATGCTACTGCACAATATAACCTTAGTATTTACTATCAGAAATGAAATTGGAGTAGAGAAAAATTATGAAATGGCAGTTGAACTACATCAAAAAAGCTGCTGAACAAGGAGTTGTTGGTGCACAGAATTAACTTGATATTGCTACAAAGTGGAATTGGCAGGGAAAATATGTAATACAGTTGATAAGAACTTGTAATAATAGCATTATATTGGAGGCTATTATAATAATAAATGTGCCAAGGAAGTTATTAAACATCATAGGCAATAGTTAATGACACAGCCTGTGGCATTATAGTAATAATAGCACATGCTGTGTTAACACTAGTTATAACATTAATTTTGACATGCAAAAACTTTGATTAAAAAATGTATTTTTTAAGTGTGTTAAACTTGACAATTCTCACTCTTTCAGAAAAAATTTCTGTCATTGTTAGGATTTATTGAATGTCTATATTTTAAATGGCAACTCTTAAGATGATTAAGTCACAACCCTGGTTGTTTGTCCATTACTCAATAACAATAGAAACTTCACATACCCAATGTCATAAACATTTATTGGTGGTACATTTTATTGGTTAAAAGTCATTGAAGTAACAAACAAAGGGCTTTTAATCCCAAGAGGGATTAATACTGAACAATAAAATATTGAATAACATAAATTTTTTAGAATGCACGTTTGAATATTTACCATAAAAGGCACTGCAGAAAAAAATAAACTTTTCTTCTTTTGCTTTCTCCTTTAATATTTATATTTTAATCTAACAACATTTTGACATTAATCACTGTTATAAGAAATTCAATTGCCATTTTTTCTTGGCTCTGTGAATATTTAAGCAAGATTTGTTAGTAAATGTTGCTAAAAATTTTGATACAAATAACGTCTGTAAAACTTACGGTGAACAGTCTGTCGCGAGTGTTGAAAAGCTTTATATTCGTTAGCAGCTTTTGGACAACTGTAAAGTTTCTTGTGCCTCATATTGTGATAACTGTTTTTACACGAGTTTGGCGTACGGTTGATGCCAAGTAGTTTTGCAATGTCGACCTGTTCTTTTTTTTCTATGTCATGCGTATAATAAACAGCAGTAACTAGTTTTGCAATGTCAGCCCATCCTTTCTTTTCTATGTCATGCATATCATAAACAGCAGCAACTTCTTTATCTGCGAATTGTGTTTTATTGACTACGTTGATAAGAAGGTACGTTAGTGAATTAATTGACGATGATGGCGTAATAGTAAACAGCTTGTATGTTAAAATCTTTACCCCCTCTTAAGTGAGACAGCCATCGTTCTCTCATTTGCTTGCTGGTCCGAGTAGGATGGTAAATAGAGATCTTGTACCAGTTATGTGGGCCGTACGTTTTCACTATTTCCAAAAGTATTTTATCTTCCTGTATAACGATAGTAAAATGAATACGACATTGAAACGTTGAATAAAGCTCCAAAGTATATCGCATATCACATTTACCTCAGGAGTCCAGTGTCCGATTTTTAATTTTTGATATTTCTCAAGCTTGTCTGAAACCGTTGCCGAATTGTATGCGCAAACGTCATCTACTACTACAGCCTCCTATAATAGCAACTCATTAAATAAAACAAATTCTTTGAAGACCAAAGAATATACGAACGTATGTATTTACCAGTTTACACAAGTCTTTAGGAACCATTGGTGGCTTTTTCCGAGCGCATTTCTCTTTAGGAATATATTTCGACATTGCTGTCAATCCTAAAGATAAGATTAAAGATACGAGAGATTGGTCAAACGCTAATCTTGCTTTTAAAAGCTTTCTAATGTATTCATTTTTGTAGCGTACAGTAACTCAAGGATAACAAATAAGGTAACCCGTATAGGAAAAGAGTATACCCGAAGCGGTTTGTCATAATTACACGAGTTTGCATCTACGAACAAGACAAATCGACTCAGAGTTTCTTTCTTTCTGCTATTGGCAGTGTTGTGTGCTTAGATTTGAATGAGCATAGACTACAATGGCTAATCTAGAGTATCGCTTACCCTTTTATGAATGTATAAAGATAGAAGAAACAAGTACAGCAGCCCCACCTTGTGCGAGTTAAATTCGATATAGGAAAAAGCAAGAACGTCTTGTTGTCAAAAATCAAGGGAACGAGGTTGTGTGGAATTTTTGAGCGGCAATTTCGAATGCAAGAGAATCGTACCGTTAAGCATGTTACTGTTCGTACTACTGATTGGGCTCTCGACGCATATAGTATGTGGATTGAGCACGCACGTCGAAGCTAAGTATTTATTGCAATTTAACAAACAAAACAAGACTCGATTCAACAATAAATTGCAAACCATAGAAATAAAAGCGTTATTTGAAGTCGGGTTTTTTTTTCAAAACTACTTTGTATTATGTTTGTACACATTTCGATCAGTTAACCGTTTGTAAAGCTATCCAACGTTAGATTTAGTGGGGTGGTATAAAGTTGATATGATGAGACTCGCTTACATATAACTGCATTATGAATGTCGCGAGGAAGGATAAGATGGAGAATTATTGATGTAATCATAATAAAACAAAAAATAGTACTGTAGGCGTCAATGCGTAATAATAAATGGACAAAAGCAGACAAATAGACATGCCACAGTTTATTGACTTGAGATCATTTTGTTGATATCATGATGAATAATATCTGAAAAAGTTTTTTGTGGTTAATGTTGATTTTTTGAATAAAAAATAAACTAAATGCAAGATGTGATATTTTTTATACAATATATTAATATGGTAAGTATAAACAAGTATATATAATAATAATAGGATTGATTGTTTTTGTTTGTATATAAATTTCTGTACACAGTCTTTACTGCGAGGGGTTTTTTTTGACATGTATCACTCAGAATTGATCCCAAATTGTTCGTTAATCGTTTCCAAAAAAGCTCTGTAGTTATTTTTTCTAAATTTCAAGAGTATTTTGTTAATCTTAATGTAAGACATCCGATACGTACATGTCGCAATTACTTACGCTGTCGGCGCGCTTTGCTGCTCCATGATATATTTACTAATAGCTATGAATGATTGCCGAAGAGTTTATCTACCCGAGGTGGGGCTCGGATTGTTGTTTCCTTTCATTTTCGGCCTATTAAATTTCTTGACGGCAACATTGTAATAAACGTTTTTACAAGAGTTTGCCGTACGGTTATTGCCAAGCGCTCTTGCAATTTCAGCCCATCCTTTGCCTTCTACGACATGTAGACGATAAACCAAATCAATCTCTTTATCAGAGAATGGGCCTTTGTTGACTATTTGACAAAGAATGCGTTAGTGAATTTATTGAGGGATGATGAATAACAACTTGTATTTAAAAACAAACAAACCTTACCTCCATTTAAGTGAGATATCCATCGTTCTCTCATCTGTTTGCCGTTCCGAGTGGGGTGGTAAATAGATTTTTTTTCCCAGTTACCTGGGCCGAATATTTCCACTATCTCCAAAAGTATATCATCTTCCTGTTATCCATTAAGAACATAACGATAGCAAAATAATAAGACAAATTATTGAATATGACTAAAGTATACTGTATATCACATTTACCTCTTTGGTCCAGTGTCCCTGCTTCCTATGATTTTTATGCTGGTAAACGCTATCGCAAACCGTTGTTGAATAACTGCCATCCCAAACCGCTGTCGAATAACCGCTATCGCAGACCGCTGTCGGATAACCGCTATCGCAGACCGTTGTTGGATGACTGTTTTCGTCGTTACTATGAGCATTCTCTACATCTTCCTAAATACAGTAAATAGTAAAATAAATAGAACAAATTCTTGGAGATACTAAAGACTGTATGAATGTTGTATTCACCATTCTACAAAAGCCAGGCTTTTTAATCTGTTCAGGTGGATTAAGTTTAGAATGGCCCAACCTTTGAGCTAAGTTTTTTCCGGAAGCTTCGGTCATGTAGTCAATGACAAACGGTAATCACGCAAGGTTCAAGTTAAAGAGAATAGTTTATTGAGGTTTTCCGTTAAGAACACGGACCTTGGATGACGTATCCTCTGGGTACCAAGCATGACAGTTAATTAAGGTTGCATGATACTGGAATCAAATAGGCGCACAGGTGCGAACAAGACTGGCAATATTTTGAAAGGCAATGTAAGAAAATGCATTGTGAGAGAAATGCTACGCCCAGAATTGAAATCAGTTTAAACTATACTCGGTAGTATCATTGTGTATTTATAGAATATGCAAACTCCGGTGTTTGTTACACTATTACGCGATTATAACGCCATCATTATTGTGACATTTTAAAAGAAAATAATAAGGAAAGATAAATTTATCCCAGGGGTGATAATCTTTACTATGATAGATTTTACACTGACAGGACAGTTTGAGTAAACAACGAGCTATTTATATGCATTAGTTCTCAACGTTCTAAAAGATAAAGGGTTAACATTCTACCCATAATGGTTTATATACGAAGTGGTCTCAACTAAATCGACCTTCTTTTTTTTACACTGATAATTATATTAATATTAATAGATTGTTAACTGTACACGGTGATATATTTCCGTGATTGTTGTAATATATTTGCTACAACTATAGAAGATGGTCGTACGTAACTCTGTGAAGCATACTAAATTAGAATCGGTCTAGAACCTGTACTTCACCAATAATGACAATGAATGTTGGTTTTAGTATTGATAAGAGTACAAGTATAAAATTTGTTAGATAATCGTAATACAGTAAACCTTGTTTATACCAGCTACTATTTATTATTATACCGTTTTTCGTTATAACGGTTTAAATTTTCAGAAACCGAAATCTTTAATCAATGATATGATATTATTTTGCAAAGAGATTTCACCGTATAGCATATCTAAACTGATATGGATAATCTTTGTTTACACCGGTTAAATCAATTATGATAAGTTGTTTGGCCTTCCTTTCAACAGCAGTACTATTACGACAGTCCACTATATTTGTACAACATTGATCTTAGACAAGAAAAAAACCATGTATTTTTAGGCGCATTAATCATGATGACTCACGCACTCTTTCAGGAGTAAACTTTCGATATCCTGTCAGCTTTACTGAATGTCTATATTTCTAGCCGCATGTTTAACTTAATATATTACACAAATTTGGCGCGCGTTTGTTTCTGCTCATGTTTTCTATGCAACCTCTTCTGTAATTGACATTTGATAAAATGACGTAAACAATTTTTACTTTTTTGCATGTCATATTATCTCGGAAGTCCTGTGTTTCAAGCTTCACTTTTGGCTTTAGGGAATGTCTTTTAAGCTGCTGGGTATCGTAAACTGTTAATTCATAAAACGGCATCACCAATACTTGCCTCTCTAATCTGCTTGCGCAAACAAGTTTTGATATTCCTTGTCATCTTTTGTTAATGGTAGATTAATAATATAGAGAGATCGGTCAAACTATTTTTTGTAGTACGTACAGTTATCAAGGATAACGAATAAGTAATCTGTATAAAAAAAGATAATTGGCCACAACCACACGCCGCACTTCAGAAGCTAGCTCTCACAATATAAAACGTATTTTAATGAGTCTGTAAGAATTAATTTCGATACAGAAAAAATCAAGCTGTAAGTTGAGCATCTGTAATAAACACCAAAAGTTAACCAAACTTTCTTCTCGAGACATAACAGATAGTAGTAATGAAGCGATACGTCAGGGGTTATTCTTCAATCGTTCGACTTTGTGTAGTTAGACTATTGCAAAATGACGCGCGATGAATGAGAGAAGAGCAATTGGTTTATCAAGTCAGAGAAACAACAACCGAGAGAAGGAAGCAGGTTTAGACGGGAGTAAAATATGTCGAGGTTTATTTGACGCTAGGAACGAATTGCAATTACATAATACAGTATATTTATAGAGTGCATTAGAAATAGTAATAACGTTTATGCGTATTATCCTAACAACGTTTTGATATCCATTTTATTCTCGACCGGGTTCTTCGCCGTTATAAGAAACTCTATTGCCATCTTTTCTTTGCTAACAAATTTGAGAAAAATTTGTTATAGAACTACTAGAAATTCGACAAGACAAATAACATCTGTGGTTACTTACGGCGAACACTCATTCAAGTCTTCCATGAGCGTTGCAAAATATAAAGCTTTATACTCGTTAGCAGCTTTTGGATAACTGCAAAGTTTCTTGTACACGATGTTGTGATAGACGTTTTTACATGAGTTTGACGTACGATTATTGCCAAGTTTGTTTGCAATTTCAACCCATCCTTTCTTTTCTATGTCATGCATATAATAAACAGTGGCAACTTCTTTATCTGAGAATTGCGTTTTATTGACTACGTCGATAAGAGGGTTGTTTGTTAGTGAATTTTATTGACGATGATGACGTAATTAATTTGTATTTGAAAAAAACTTTACCGCCTTTCAAGTGAGCTAGCCATCGTTCCCTCATTTGCTTGCCATTCCGCGTAGGGTGAAAAGTAGAAATCTTTTCCCAGTTTTGCGGGCCATGCGTTTTTACGATACTCAAAAGTGTTTTATCTTCCTATCATTCCATTAGACATGTAAGGATAATAAAATAAATAAGACAAATTATCGAAATATTGAATGTGGCGAATTAAACCGACATTGTGACAAATTAAAACGACATCGGATTAAAACAAGTTAGAATTTGGATACCTTTTGGGTAATAAGAAAAAGTATACGAGAGTTTCAGAGAAAAAATCCAAGAACATTTCAATTTTATTTCAGTTTGGTGTCGTTTCAATCTGTCACATTGACTACGACTTCAAAGGATACTGTTACGTCACATTTACCTCATGAGTCCAGTGCCTCTGCCTCTGTTTCAGCCGTTCTTCAAGCTGGTTACCGCCATTGTAAATTGATGTTGGATAATGTTCTGCGCAAAATAATCATAATTAATCATTTTTCATGTGAACAAATTTAAGTCTACCTACCAGGCCTTTGATCCCAACAACAGTTCTTTTTAACATTTCTGCGACGGCTAGATCTGTGTTTTGGCATGGTCATCAATGTTAAAGAGTAATTTAAAATTAAATTAGAGAAGGCAGTCAAGCATAAAAAAAATGGCCGGTGTAATAATTAAAAGATTCCGAAAATTGTTCGTTTATGGCCAAAACCGGCTATACAGGGGGCAGATTTCAATGTACCAAGGATAAAAATAAGACGACGGTATAGAATTAAGAATGCGCATACTGGAATTCAAACAAATAATGATGGACACAGATTGCAGATTGCAAACAAGATTGGCAATATTTGAAAGACAGTGCTTTACTAATGTGTAAAGACAAAAGGAGATACTTACGCCAAACTGTTTTTTAAGCATTTTATAAATGGAAATTACTATTATATTTATAGAACATCAAACTCCGATGTTTTGTTACACGAAAAGTGGTTATATTTAGTATTGGTATTACTAATTTACGCAATTGGTACACCGTATTTCTCATTGTGTCGTCTTAAAAGGCAATAAAAAATGAAAGCAACAAGATTATCGTCTGCAGATTGATAGATAATACGATATCAATAATAATGACTATCGCTCCGAAAGATTCTCGTTGAATTGTTTCATGCATTCAATATAAATTTCGCAGGGAGAACCGAGATTCCGACGACGAAAACAAGTGTTCACATGCTCAGCTCTAAGCTACATCAAATATAAATGCTCAACTTTTCACCAGATTATTTTTTTTTTCTCGTTCTCCGTAAACTAGCGCTTTTTCTCTGCTTAAACATACCGGTTATTATGTTAGATTATTTTAACCGTGTGCATTCGATTATTGTAAACAATATACTCGTTACAACTATGATAAGAGAGGACCATAACTCCGTAAACGTGTTTAACAATTTAGAATTAATTTGACTCTCTAAATTATAATACTGATGATGGAGTAATAATGGGGTTTGCATATAATGTTGACCTTGCTAAAGCTTGGGGCTTGGTAGTTAGATGTACGTGTATTACACAATTGTTTGAATGTTAAAGCTATAGATAATTTATTGTTGTTCCGGTTAAATAGGCTGCCGACCTTCCGGAGGCCTTACTATTAGGGATATTTATAACATTGGTTTTGAAATGCAAAAATATTTGATAAAATGTATTTCTAAAGTGCTTAAAACATGACAATTTTTATTTTTTAGGGGAAAAATTGTCATTTTCGACATTCTATCAGAATTTATCGAATGCCCATATTTTGAACGGCAATTCTGATGGGTAAAAGCTGTTCTTAAGGATGGTTAAATTATAACCTTGGTTGGTTCGTTTATTATTCAATAACAAAATGAAAATTTATACTACTCGAAGTAATAAACATTTATTGGTAACATAATTCATTGTTTCAAGTCCTTGAAGGAACAGAGAGACGGAAGCAGGTTTGGATAATAAAATATGTCAACGCCTTTTTTATTTTAGGCTCAAAAATGTTTCGATTAAACTATGTAAATATTTAATAAATTTTTAGAATGCCGTTTGAATATTTTACTATATATAGGCGGCATTACGGAATTTTTTCTTCTTTTTTCTTTTTTTTTCCCCAACCTCCCCCCCCCCCCTTTTTTTTCTTTTCTTGGCTACTACCAAACTGAGTAACCAGTTAGTTACCAAAACTATTTACTACATATTTGACATCCATTTTATTTTGGGGTTCGACATAGATCTTTGCCGTGATAAGAAATTCTATTGCCATTTTTTCTTTGCTATTGAATATTTGACAGAGATTAGTAAGCAAACCGTTTACTGAACATTGTAACACAAATGACGTCTGCAATACTCACGGTGAACAATCTTTCAAGTCTTTCAAGTCTGTAACGAGCGTTGCATCATATAACAACTTATATTCGCTAGCAGATGTTGGACATTTCCTAAGTTTTTTCTCCACGATATTTTTATAAGCGTTCTGACACGCGCTAGCGGTCCGACCGTTGTCGAGTTTTCGTGAAATGTCTGCCCATCCTTTCTTTTCCTCATTTCGCATATAATAAACAGTGGCGATTTCTTTTTCTGCGAATCGTGTTTTATTGACTATTTGATAAGAAAAGACGCCTCGGTGAATTTCGTTGAAAGTAATAGCGTGACCAATTTCTAAATGTCAAATCTTTACCTTTCTGGTCCAAGTGGAATTGCCATCGTGTGCGCATTTGCTTGCCATTGCGAGTAGGATGATAAATGGAGATCTTTTCCCATCTCTTAGGACCATGGATTTTTACTATAGCCTTGAGCTTTTTATCCTCCTATGATCGTTCAGAAATATTTATGATAAACTATTAGGACAAAATTATCCAATAGTGAATAAAACTTAAGCATATTTACCTCATCGTCCCAGCGTCCCTTCTTTATCCGCTTTAGAGGATATTTTTCAAGTCGGCCTGTTAAATCGTTTTCATATTTGATACCGTTTGGTGCATGTCCCGACATCGCAAAGATAATTGTAGTAAGCTTAAAAAGATTAGGAAGGTTTTGTCAAACAATTTCAATTTAAAGTTTTTAAAACGTAATGTAGAAGGAGACTCCACCCTTAAATACCTTTCGACAACATGAACAAATAAGGTAACTTCAATGCAACGCGTCATGGAATTGAGAATACTATCAAACTGGAGTTTCATCGTTGGTTACAATGACACATATTCAAAAAAGATGAGATCTTCTACTGGGAAATATTGAAAGGGTTTAAGCAATACAGTAATTTGTGTTATTCTGCATAATGCATATCAGCACAAACAAATAACAAAAGGACTAACCCTGTTATATCCCCAAAATTGGGTCAATGCGTTTATGCTTATCCAGTACTATTATTGGTGCTGCTACACAGATGTAAATTCTTGCGAAACGCCTTCTATTTCCTATTGACATACACATCATATTCATTGTAACGCTTTAATTGGGATTAAAAAAGAAGAGAAAACCACCCGCAGTGATAATCTAATCAACATCTTTATTCACATTCGATAATAGATACTGATATTGTAAGCATCAAAGATGTGCATTAAACAGGTATAACCTGTACAAGAGAAATTATCATACATGACCCCAACCCAAAAATTCCCGCTTCCATTAGAAACCCTTCTCAAGGAAACATGTCTCCCTCGGGTAACTCCTCATGGGCTGTTTTATAAATAGTGGCATCTTCGCTACCCAACACACCGGTTAGAAACGCAAGCTGTGAGTAATCTTGGGGGTCAATTGGCAGCTCGGAAAGACGCACTTCAGGCGCATCCGCATTATTTGTTGCTCGTTCGATTGTCAAAATGCGGCTGATTGGAGGTGGCGATGGCGCGCCGGCCGTCTGCGCAGGAGCGGGTTCTTCCAAAGTGCTTTCTACTTGAGGCAGTTGTTCATGGGTCGACAAATATAAAGTTGACTGAGCTACTGAAGGCATAGGAGATTGATTGAACGAGTCTGCAGCATTGTTGTGTGGCATCAAAGCCAACGTGGGCAGAAGATCATCGCTTGGTCCTGGAGTTGTCATAAACGGGTGTTCCTAGGAAAAGATACTGGACATTAATACAACTCGTCGATGGATAGCATCCAGAAATCACGTAACTTGATAGTCACCAACGCTAAGGTTGCTGTGAGCCGCTCACGCGGGTTAATTTTGAGCAACTCTTTCACGAGATTTCGAGCTGTTTAAAAATTTTCAGAAATTAATTAATCATGATCTCATTCCGTTACTACTTGAAATGCCACCATTTCCTTCCTCTTCACCAGACAAACATACAATTAAGACTTTTCTTTCCCCAATGATCCACAGGAAAAGAATAATCAGCTGTCCTTATTTGCTCCGCAAGCGGCATCCTGCCATCGGCTTTGTAAAACGGTGGGAATCCACATAGAGTTATGTACAAGATTACTCCCAGACTCCACATGTCAACGGCAGCATTATAGGAACGCACTGGTTTGGGTGTCAATATTTCCGGCGCAACTGAATAGAAAAAGAGACGATAGCAAAAGGTAAGTGAAAAGGTGTCTCATCGATCAGCCCCCGCCCCAAACCCTCATAATATTTCCCAGTCCTGCATCCATGCCAAAGGTCACTCGCGGGTTTTTCTATTGGTATATCAGTGTTCGAACAACTATGTTATTTACCATATGTCGGCGTGCCACATAGAGTGGACATTCGCACTGAACGATCATGCATCCAAGTAGCTAACCCAAAATCTGCTATTTTTACAATAAGGTTTTCTCTGCTAACCATAAGAATATTCTCGGGTTTAAGATCACGGTGAACTACGTGCATCCCATGCAGGAACTGTAGAGTGGTTTGGTTTGTTTTGCAAAGTGAGTGATGTTTTTAGCTACGATTCTATTTGTAGTAATAGAGTTGTCATCAGATATAAGCGGATACCTGGATAGCATCAAAAAGTTGCCGGAATATCGTTCTTGTCTGTCGTTCAGTTAGTCCATTCTTACTGGCAATTAGATCAAATAACTCTCCTTCCGGTATCCTACATACGACAATCCAAACATGGTCAAAGGACTATACTTTCCAGAGCCAAACATTCACATATATCTCTCTTACCATTCCATTACAATCTTGAACTCGTCTCCAGTATCGAATGTATCGAATATTTTGGTAATATTATCCTAGAAAAAAACACGTCAGATTGTCGAAAACAAATTATGCTCAGAGTTAACTAATAAATTGTAAGCATACGTGTTTAACGTTCTGCATAATTGCAGTTTCACTTTTGAGTGCTTTGAGTAATTTATCATTATTCATGATAGTCGTTTTGTTCAACGTCTTCACAGCAAATGTCTTGCCCGTGCCGATGAGTTCGACTTTATGCACATGTGCAAATTGGCCTTTGCCGACCCATTCAAGTACTTTATACCTATCCTCAAATCTCTATTATAGAGTTTTCCGGGGAAAAAAGGGAAAAGTGTTAGTTCACGATTGAATTGGGGGAAATTGGGATATTCATTCGCGATTCATTCTTACGTTACCAATTTCATTCTTTTACGTTACCTCTCTCGCAAACGAACGCATACAAGCACAACTCACACGCACACAGCCTCTCTCACTTGTTCCCACCATGAACAGTCCCGTCTACTTACACATATGTCATCTTCAATGAGCACCTTGAATTGATCTAGCAAACGGGTATGCATATTTTAAGTACAGCTATACCGACCACACGCTCATTTTCTGCGCTTTGTTTCATATACATATATATAGATACGTTGCCTTACTTACATCTGACTGTTTGATCCTTTAGCTTTAAACCAATGACATCTCCACTCTTGATAAGTCTCTGCTTCATTCGTTCGCTGTTCTTGTTATTAAACTCGATACCTCGTTTACTGTTATCTTCGAGAATTAAATCGCATCGGCATTCACCATTCTCCTTCTTATAGTGCTTAAATGATGGAAAATGCGTTTACGGGTATGAGATGGATGATGGACAAAAATATTGTATCGAATAAAAAGAGTCGTGCAACTTTTTTTTTTACCTTATAAATGATACAGTGATGAGAGCTTATTGCTTCATCCTTCAGTTGCTATAATATGATCGTGTTTTTACATTAATCATCGCGCGCTACAGTCATGTTTTCTTCCCACTCCCCCTCCGTTCCGTTTTTACCCACAGTGTCACAGGTTCGACTTCTTCCGATGCTGTGTTGTCTCTTTGAAATCAAAATGTTCTCAAATCCATCTGTTAATGAGATCAACTTTGCCCATGGTTTTGATTCGTCGTCGTCAACGTTGTCATTATCATTATCATTTTTCTCGTCTTCTTCCTCTTCGTCGATCTTGGGGCGCTTTAATTGAGTTTCTTCTTCAGCTTCATCTCGCTGGCGTGACGACTTGAGAGACATGTTGAGGTGCCGATTGATCGGAAGCGTAAAAAGTCTTGAAATGGGGAGTGAGAGGGACTTGTAGCTAGCGATAGTATAATTAGTATTCTAAAACCATGTCACCGTAGATGCGCAGAAAGATTTCGGGGGGAGGCGTAGTCATTCCCATATTAGGAAATACACAATATGAAATTACAGTGCCGTAGTCATTCATTGACCAATACTATTCTAAATTTTGAAACATGTGAAATAAACAAACAATAACAAATACGTGTAAACTTGTCCATTGTAAAAATCTTGCAATTGAGAGCGTGCAAAGACCAATCCGTACAAGTGCAACTCGTTATTATTATTCTCTCATTTCTCATCAACCATACATACTACATACTAATATTGTAATAGAAAACGTAGCACAAACAGGATATGATCTTCAACAATACATCGAGTATTGTTTTAATTGTTCAATACATAAACTTTGATAAATAGCTTTTGCTTCTTACTTGCCATTTACAGATGTATAATGATTGCTTGATACACGTACCCGCCACCCTTAGGACAGTTGTTATATTTATAAGCAGAAGGCCACTCATCACAAACTTTATCATTTCTCTATATATGCTACTGTAATAAATTTAATCCATTATACTTTTATATTTAAAAAGTAGAAACAATTTCACAATACGTTGGACATTGGAAACTAGTGACTTATAATGATCAACTACAACATCCTATTCCAATCTTCACAGCGGTTTTTCCCATTTTAATAAAGACAATACTATTTTGCATTATAAAAATTGCTTTATACATCATTAATTAACCGATTTCTTACAAAAAAACTGTAATGACTCCTCTAGAGTGCGATGTTGAGAGAGAGAGAGAGAGAGAGAGATCAAACGCATACCAGTGAGTAAAGTAAGTTTCTTTATAATATGCAGATCCACGGCATTTAATTGTCACCAACATAAATTTTCTCATACGTCATAACTTGTCGTAATAAAGCAACCTAATATTTTATCGTACTAACCAATAAATCAATAACCGTTAGTATTAGTAAGTAATCTTTTATTTTACTATTATCAATTACTCCATACTTACGCAACCATAGAGATATTCCATTCACTCTGGAGACTAACTAATCAATACATTATTCTAACAAATAACGTAATCGGCTACTATTTCCTAACAAGTTAAGCGAGAAAATGACTAATTGTTCGTAAGTAATTGGCTAATTATTACAAGTCGGTTAGGAAAAGGCTTGTAATTATAGCGATGCTACTTTGACGCTAGATTACTCACTTTATTCAAATAGTAAATAGCATGTATGAAACTCACTTCGTTATTCCGCTCCCTTATTAGAAAGAAAGTAAAGAATCCATACGGAAATTTAAAACATATAAAAACAGACAAGATTACGCTCCTTCCTCTCTACTCTTAAGAGGAACGATTTAATAATAATTACCAAAAAAATTCGTAAAAATGTCTCGGATCATTGATCACTATTCTTTCGATCCAATAACACCGTATGAATCGATTGTTCACTTCCCCTAACCTACTCATCTTCAAATTAATCTATTACAATCCTCCCTTCAATTAACGAACCTACTCTTGTGCAAATCGATCATACATTCTGGCGGCCTTATGATATCATATTAAAAGTCCTCCGCAGACTCCATGAAATTGATTAAACACAATTTCCTTGCGTTCCGTGCTCATACTGTTCACGTTTGATACACCCTAATCAGACCAAGTGGATCACTCGCCAAACAAATTCCTGTCCCCGCCGTCTTCCCATTTGAACACGCATATCCTCATATTCCCCTGGTTACACATCCAAGTACAAAAGTAGCTGTATGTCCGTCATGTAAACTATCTCCTTCCCCGTGTCCCACGAATTTCCGCTTGTATCGCGAAAACGTACCTGATGGCAACGAAAATATTTGTCACCCGTATATCTACACTCGATCATCAAATGTATTCGCTTACTCAGAATACCAGGTCAATATGAATACTCAAAAAATCTACGAACACTATCACTGTATTCCGGTATGCTGGGTGCGTTTCTCCAAAAACGTCGACCTCTCTTCCTCAGAAAATCTTTGGTACCATCTTTTTCTAAGAGATGTCCTGTGAACGGCTACAAGAAACAATTTATACTTCCGATCTTGCCACCAATTCGATATGACCACGCGCCACTCATATATATATACTGTATAAACTGAACATATTATACCGCCTGTAAACCGTGGTGACAACACATGATTTCCCCGATGAGATTCACAATGAAAATTTTCATTACACCCGCTGAGTTATAGACTTTCTATATACAAAAGATGAGAACAAGATACCAATTCCTTTACACGATCCCGAGTTAGAAGCCCTTCTATTCCCCGATCTATTTCCCGACGGACACAGACATTATGGGAGCTAACTTACTCTTTAGTATTAAAATCTGTTCCTATTTTTATACTCTTCCGAATTACCCCCAGTGCAGTGTAAAGTTTTTTGCTTTTTGTGTAATTTACTCAGTTGTCTCTTTTCCTTCAACTGGTAAAAAAGAGAAACTACAATTAATAATTAGTTAAAAGTCACCTTGATAAATGCGTTTAACGCTCAATGCCACTCTATTATTTATAGCTGATTCCAAACGTTCCTCGGACAATGTTTCGACTCTTCGTTCGATGAATTCTCTGTAACTTATGGCACACCGAACAACTTTCGATACTTTTATTAACCCATATAATATCAGCATACAAAATAAAAATTGAAAAAATCCGCCTCACGTGCGAAGAACAACTCCCTAGTTCAGTATTTAAATAATCAGCGAGATTTTTTTTTACAGTTACACCGGACAACCTCACTGGTCCACGGACATTGTCCTAATTGTCCGATGTATGACTTTTGGATATATCTACTCACAACTAAAACTGTGTACACAGAACATACATAAGACATGTCCCAATTGTCCAGAGCCCGACGAAATCCATTGGACATAGTCATTGCCCAACTTTGTGAATAGAAGGGTATAAAATTCCTGATTGATTACCGTTACACCTAATTAATCAACCTCACGTTACACTACATCTCGGATGCTTGCGATTTTCCTAGTCGAAATTGGAGCTGACATACAACATACTAATACTAATACATACTAACATACACCAGGTATATTGGTAAAAGTTTAATAATACCGATTTTCGATATCAATATACAAGTATTAGTTGGTTTTATGCTGCCTATTACTATACAAAAATGGAAAACGGGGATCAACATGTGTTATACCACAGAGCAGCTGAACAAGGAGATGCCAGTGCTCAATATAATCTTGCTTTATGTTATGTCAATGGAACTGGAGTAGAAAAAAATGAACAAAAAGCAGTTGAATGGTTTAAAAAAGCAGCTGAACAAGGACATGCCAGTGCTCAATATGGTCTTGGTTGGTGTTATGCTAATGAAACTGGAGTAGAAAAGAATGAACAAAAAGCAGTTGAATGGTATAAAAAAGCAGCTGAACAAGGATATGCCAGTGCTCAGTATAATCTTGGTTGGTGTTATGAAAATGGAACTGGAGTAGAAAAGAATGAACAAAAAGCAGTTGAATGGTATAAAAAAGCAGCTGAACAAGGAGATACTAA